CTCCTCCTCCCCCCCCCACACCCATGTGCTTGTGCACTTCTCTCCCTCTCTCTAAACTTTTAAAAATAAATAAAATTAAAATAAAAAAATAAAAATCTGTTATTTCCATAGCTCTAGCCATAGCCCTTTTCCAAAGCTTTCATATAAGCTCATTCCAGTTCTAGATCTCAAGCCCATTTATCTATTTTTGACAACTATTGAACCCAGTCATCTAAGTTAACAGCAAAATAATGCCAAAGGGGAACAGTAATGTATACAGAATTTCTTCTCTCTCAGAAACTGATTCAACATACTTGTTAGCAGGTTGGCCTCAAAAAAATGTGGTGTTAGTTTAAATCCAACCCGAACACAGCCATCCAATCAATCTAGTCTTTGTGATAGGTATAGTGTAACCCAAATCTCTAAAAGCCTCTTTTTTTCTCCATACTACTTTTCATCTGCATTTTAGTCTATTCTTAGATCAAGAAGCCAGTTTATGGAACACTGACCTTTTCAGGCAATATAGAACAAGGAACTAAAAAGCTTAGAAATAAAATAACTGAAACTAATATTAGTGACTGATGTAGAAGACCATAGGAGTACTCTCAAGTACCTACCTTACCATTTCAAATAGAAAAATCTATAGTTATAATGGACAAAATATTATGTACTCTTCAGTTTGTTACCAGCAAAACCTTATTTGCAAAATTAACTAGATTTACCTGTCAAGCAGAATTAACTACACCCTCCTTTATGCTGTGTAAACGTGTTTACACCTCTACACTCTATAAATGCACTGTACTGCAATTATAAATGATGGTCATTTTTATATTAGGTTATGTGATATTCACAAATGTTCACTGTAGGAAAGAATGAGTTGGTTTTAGAATGTTCAGGTTACGTGTTTAATTAAAAAAATGACTAAAGAATCAATAGATGAATAGTTAAGTTCTGGTATACACATATACATAAACATGTAAACTGGAATATTATTCAGTCATGAAAAGGAACAAAGCAGTGATATATGTGACACGAATGAAACTAAAAAACATCTTGCTAAGCGAAAGAAGCCAGACAAAAAAGAGACCACATATTGTATGAGTCCATTCATATAAAATATCCAGAATAGGCAAATCATCCATAGAAACAGAAAGTAGAGGGGCGCCTGGGAGGCTCAGTTGGTTAAGCTTCCAACTTTGGCTCAGGTCATTATCTCATGGTTCGTGAGTTCAAGCCCTGCGTAGGGCTCCCTGCACCACTTCCGAGCCTCTGTCTGCCTCCCTCTGTCCCTCTCCCACTCAGGCGCACACACGTGCATCTGTGCTCACTGGTAAAAAATAAACATTAAAAAAAAAAAAAAAGTACACTGGTGGTTACCAGAAGAGAGACTCAGGGAATAACTGCTTAATGAGTCTATAGGGTTTCCTTTCGGAGTGATAAAAATGTTTTGGAACTGGACAGAAATAGTTGCACAATACTGCAAATGTACTAAATGTCACTAACTTGTTCACTTTAAAATGGCTAATCTTATGTTATATAAATTTCACCTTAATAAAAAAAAATAACCAAAGATAAAATCTCTCTTACACAATAAGATGGAAAGGAAGGCAGCAAAGACTTACACATAAACGTGAAAGTTTAATCTGGTTTGTTCCAATATCTGACAATCAAAACAACAATGAATTTGAGAGTAACAAAAACCACATAAAACCCATTTCTGAATTATAATCACTTATAAAAGTGGAAAGTTTTCTCTTGGTCTAATTTTGTAAAGAGGGGAAAGCTAATAACAAGAAATGCTAAGTGTCTCTATCTTTTTCCCATGGCAAACTCTAGTAACCTGTGCTTCCCTATGACCACACTTCTTCACAAGCATACACAAATTTCAAAGAAAAAGTTATGTCTTTTAAACTAAACTTAAAGGGAACATTAATTTACACAGCAGAACTATTAGTGTTAAATGTTGGTCTCAGAGGCAAAGACAACACCAGCATCTGAGGATTCTGACTTAATGAAATTCGCTATTCATCCTGGGCTAGTCCTCTGAGAACTTCAGTGACATCAAACTATAGTTTGGATTTTTTTTTTTTGGCTCTTTATCTCTAGATGGAATAGATTTAACAATTATTAGAATCAACAGATTTCATTACATTCAGATGATCAACTTAGAGATAAATATTTATACATCAAGAAATTTTTATAATTATTTTTTATTGTGGTAAAATACTTACAAAATTTGCCATGTTAACCATTTTTAAGTGTACAGTTCAGTGGCATTAAGTACATTCACACTGTTGCACAGTCATCACCAACCATCCATCTCCAACAGCCTTTTATCTTTCCCAAGGGGAACTCTCTACCCATAAAATTATCCCCCATTCTCCACTCCATGCCAGGAAACCACCATTTTACTTTCTCTTGAGTCTGACTTCTCTAGGTACCTCATATAAGTAGAATCATACACTTTTGTATCTGACCATTTCAACTTAGCATGTTTTCAAGGTTCAACCATGTTGTAGCATGTGTCAGAATTTCCTTTCCTTTCAAGGCTGAATAATATTCCATCATATGTATATACCACATTTTGTTTATCTATTCATCTATTGATGGGACACTTGGGTTACTTCCACCTTTTGGCTATTCTGTATAAAATTACTTTAATATAGCAAATATAACTGGTTACAAAGAGACTACAATTGTAGAAATATTTGTATAGAACTAAATAGATTCAGTGATTTATAAATAAAACTTTAGCAAAATTCTTCTATTTTGTATCAACTGGGTTTAAAATAGAAACATAAATACAAAATGTAGAAAATTACACCCTTATTACAAAGTAGGCTACAAATGAAAAACTAAAGCTATAATAAAGAAATGTATTTTTAGATATTACTCCCAGGACAATGTAGTTATTATACAAATGTAGCCATAATATGGCTATTCTAAGGGAGTGTCTTGATGCCCTCCCTGGGAAGTGTCACATACAGCAAGAACAGTAAGAACTGTTACGAACATGCTCTCATTAAACATGAGCCAGGTAATCAATGTCTCCTCACTTATAGAAGTGGTTCCTCATTTACAAATGACTCTATACTTAGCAGTTACATGGGTCAGAGAAAAATGGAAACACTAAAGAATCAAGATCAAATTAACATTTGTGACTAGGCTCACTTTAGCTTGAGACCCAGGCCAAACAGTCCTCCTAAGTCTATACAATTACACGGTTCAGAGAAAGGCAGAGAAAGTGATCCATTATGAACGGATCACTTATAAAATTACTCTCCATTCAAACAATGTGCATTCATTTCCTCTTCTATCAAACAGGAACAGTAAGAGTACTTATACTATTATGAGGAATAAATGAAATGACACAGAGCTCAGAACATGCCTAGCACTTAGTAATAAGCACTTTTTAAGTGTTATTATTATTATACCCCCATCAGATACAAGCAATTATCTCCACCCATCCTAGCCACTTATTTACTGGCCCATTTTTTCACTGATATGCTGTAGATGTAATCCTAACACAATGCAAATCAACTGTAAAGTGAAAATAACCACTCTCACAAAGATACAGAATTTCATCATATTTAGTGAAAGCACTATTTTATTTTTCTCAAAATCAGAAATTTTGTATTTTCTTTTGTTTTCCTTTGCTTTCTTTCCTTCCCTTCCCTTTCTTTTCCTTTCATAACATTACAACTGAAGTACAGAGCATTAAGGATGATGAGGGCTTGGGAACTTCAAAATACAATTTGAACACTAAACTGGCTCCAACTTCATTTACCAATAAATTTCTCCAGGAATTCTATGTTGGTACACACCATGAGCATTCACTTCTCTCAGCTTCACCTATTGGCAATGCTCTTTCTCCTCCACCTGGAGAATTTCTGCTTACCTTACTCACTGTCTCAGTTCATATGTCACTTTCTATAGTCTTTTTCAGGCTCCTGAAGCAGAACTCTCTCCCTCTATGACCCCACAACACTGAGTTGACAGTGCTAATAAAGACTGTAAAGACTATATTACATTAAGTTCCATAAGCATATCTTCCCTGTTAGACACTCTTAAGCTCTTGGACAGTAAGGACCATGTTTGTTTCCAGTGCCTAGCACTGACATTAGAAGGCATACAATATGCTTGAATTGAATTGTATCCCAGAATTTTAGGACGGGGAAGAGCCAAAGAAGCCAACAGTTGTTTTCAGTGAGACTCAAAGAAGAATGAATGACTCGCCCAATTCATAGAAACACTGACTGTGACAAGACTAACAGCCAAGTTTCCTTTCCCAAAAATGTCCATGAGGATAGGACCGTGTGTCCAGCTCACTGCTTCAAACTGGTTCACCCAGTACAGAACTGAGGTGTACAGCAGATCCTTAATTAAGGGCTTTCCATTACAAAACACTGTACATATCAATCCATAAATGTTGAGAAACTGACACATCCTCGCTAAATTTTTACATCGTCCTTACATCAGTTCTCTATTGTAAAAATTCTGAGAAATAAACAAAATCATCTTGTACGGCAATATATTATATGAAAGTAGTATGTCAAACATTTAATCCTGCTTTCTGGCATTAACACATTTAAAGTGAAGTCTGTTTCCAGGCTTAGAGGTTTATAAAAGCCTGTCTACATGAACTGAATAATGAGATCATTAAAATTACATAGAATACACCAACACCCCCAAAACATGGTTTATACACTGCAGATTATGTCAAAAGCTAATAAAATGCAAGTGACAACTTGCCTTTGTGGAAACTAGGCACATGGATTTACATTTTGAGGAAGTTCAAGTTTACAGGCCAACAGCCACATGACGATTTGCTGCCACCACGAAGAGGAGCTAACAAGAATGAATGCCTACTTCCAGCAAATAAAATACTTAGATTTCATCAATGAGAAGACATGTAATATAGCCAAGGTACCGGATAAACAAACATTAAAGGAAACAAGAAGTCTCCTTTCTGTCCTACTTAATGGATATCAGATAGCAAGAGTCCTTCCAGGAAATTCACGTGAGTCCCTAGAAATCGCTGACAAACACAGCAGTGGAAGGGGGCTATGAGGCCGAAAAAGGCCAAGACACCACTTGGCCCCTCCGGTAGGTATTTCTTGTACAAGAAAAGGGCGTGGGGACAACAGAGCACTACCAGGCACAAAGGTGGAAACGCACGCCAGCGACAGAGCAATCTCTGGGCGGATCCCTACGCCACCTCGGAGTCTCAGGCCCACTGCACGCCCCCGACTCAGCCTGACGCTTAGACCCGGTATTCCCCTCAAGGCGCGGCGGTGGCCGACTCCACTCAAGAGGTGGCAGCAGGCCTTCATGGACCTCAGAGCCTACAGGCCGAGACACCCCCTCGAAAAGGCTACCCCATTCCAGAGCAACCGTCGCGACCAGGAGCCGCCGCCCACCCCGATCTCGGATCTGCCCGCCTGCGGCCTTCCCCGGCCTGTCCTCATCCCGCAGGCCAAGCCGGGCTGGTCTTAGCCCCGATCAGGCTGCAGAGCCCCAACTCCGCCCGCAAGGCTCCAGAGCGGTGGGAGAGCGCAGAGGTTGAAAGAAGGGTCCGCCCGGGGCCCGCCGCCCCTCAACACTTACCATGGCGACTCCCCAAAGCCTGCAGCAAGCAGCACCCACCCCGCGCGAAGCCTCCTGCGGTCAGGTGACGCTGCGGCCTCTCCAAACCCCGCCCTCCTTAGCCCCGCCCTCGGACCCTGCAGGCGGCTCCTCGATTGGCCCGCTTCTAGGAACTCAAGTCTCGCGTGTTTATTGGCTCCTGCCACTTATCCAGGGACTGACGGACCTGGGTTCTAGCCTGTCCCTCCACAGTGTGTGAAAGAGGGCGGGGAGGTGCACTGTAGCGAGGAATCTCTCGGCGGCTCCTGCCGCCGAGACAGCAGGAAGTAAAGGTGTCGTTTGAGTAGTTTGTCAAGACGGAAGGAATGGAAGAAGTGGGAGCTGCCGGTCCAAGTTCACCTGTCCAGGGTCGTGCAGTCACGTTGCGCATGCGCAAAAGGAAGACTAGGCTTGATTTGTGGAACGGTCTCAACTTCTTGTCCCAGCCAATCCAGATGCAGTTAGAGGGGTGGGGCCTGGCCGTCACTGGCTGGCGCGGCGTTTGCGCGCGGGTTTCATCGTGTAGCAGCTGTTCGCGAGATTAGTTCGCGCCATGGAATCGGGGCTGATCCGGCGTTTAGCACCGCGCTTGGGTATCGCCGAGCCAGATGTGCTAAGGTGGGTTTGGCGGTGCACGCCTCAGCGGGCCTTAGACTTCCCTCAGGCGAGGTCCGAGTCATTCCCGCGCGTCAGGCAGTGCTGGAGTGAGGGGGGAACGCCGGAAGTGGGTGGGATTAGGCCCTGTCTCCGGAAAAACTTGCCAGCAGAGTGGGCTTTTATGAGCCGGCGAGAAGGGACAATTGCAGATGTCTTTAGGAACAGCTGTCTCGGTGGGAAGGGAAAAGTCGGAGAACTTAGGTCGTTCCACAGATGCTTATTGAGGGTCTCTTTACAGTGGTGAGCCACACAGACCTCCATTGAGGTTACTGTCTATGACAGAACTAGGGAGAAAACTAAACTGGGTGATGTGCCGGAAGCGGGGGAGGGAGGAGCACAGCGCGCCCTGGCGTTTGCTTTTCATTAAAAAAACAAATCCTAGAAAGGCCTTGGAGGGGCTGCCACTTTTGCTGAGACCAGATTGATAGAAGGTGCCAGCTATCGGAAGATGTGGGAAGAGCGGCACAAAAAATCACTTTGCATAATCCAGGGTTAGAAATAAAGCTGTTGTGGCTGAAGCGTGGAGAGCAAGACAAGGTCCGATGCTTTGGCGCTCAATTGAGGGAGAGAAAGGAAAGCACTTCTTAAGAGTTGAAGTAAGACCTCTTGAATTCAGTAATCGTTTAGAACAGCCATTCTCAAAGTGTGGTTCCTGGACCAGCAACATCAGTATCATCTTGGCACTCCTTAGAAATGCAAATTCTCGGGTCCCATTTCAGGCCTACTGATCAGAAACCCCGAGGATGGGACCCAGCAATCTGTTTTCACAAGCTCAAGGTGATTGTCTTGTACATTAAAATTTGAGAATCACTGATTTAGAGGAAGGGGTAAAAAGAAGGAACCCTGGTATAACTGCCAGCCTCTGCAGTAGTTCATGTTTGTCCCAGTAATGGAAGGATGAAAGAAGTTGGGGTTTTTTGTATGTTTGTTTGTTTGTTTGTTTGTTTTTAAGAAATTGAAGAACTTACTTTTGCTTAGAAGTACTTAAGCACAGTGGTGTCTGAGGTCAGGGCTGATTCTGTCTTACAGAACCTTGTCTCCCACCCCCACATAAACTTGCACAGGAGTTAGGCCCAGAACGAAGTCCACCAGGCTGTATTTATTGTTTACCAAAGTGTTGGGCAAACTTCTGGAAAAGAGTCTTAGTGAGCATGTTGCCTTTATAACCAGGAAAGCAGAGGAGTACTTGCGACTGTCCCAGGTGAACTGTAATGGCCTGTCTGCACATACCACAGAAACCAGCAATGCAGTCATGTGCCTGGATCTTGCAGCTTCCTGTATGAAGTGCCCCTTGGACAGGGTAAGTAGGTCCCACTGAATGTCTAAATAATCCTCTGCAACACTGAAACTTAATCATGTTTTAATTTCTGATTGGAAAGAGTAGACTGTAACTAAACTCTTGTTTTTTAGAATTTTCCTGGCTATTAGATAAGATTATTCAAGACCATTTTTGTCAAGTTGAAGAAAATTCCCTTTACTCTTTACCATCTAGTTTCCTTGGCTGCCTCTTTCTTTACTCAAGACTATCTTTCATGCAGCTGCTAGCATCCTCCTAAAGCGCATGCTTTAAAACCCATGTGTATTTTTCTTCCAGTATCACAGTGGTTGAGAGCACAAGCTAGGAGTCAGGAAGAGTTAGATGTTGAGACCAAATCTCAGTACCACCAGTTACTAGCTCTGTGAGCTTGCAGTTTCCTCATTCATGAAGTGGGGATAAGAATATCCATTTTGCTGGATTATTGTGAGGATTAAACCATATACTGTATGTAACACACTTAACACAGTATATATCACATAATGATATACTCATCAAATGGTGACATTGGCTCCCCATTACTGTCAAACTCTCCAGCCTGTCTTAAATACTAACCTCAAGCTACACTATTTACTTAACAGACTATGCACTTTAATGACTTACATCTTTGTAAAGCAACAACCTTTTTTTTTTTTTTTTAACATGCATTTCTTTTCTGGCAAGGTCTTCCATGACCCTGCCTTGCTGTTACATCCTTCATGAAACTTTCCTTGACTTTCCCAGGTGTAGTTGGTTTCCCTCAGTTGTTGATCCTCCTGTTTCCCAGTTAGCCTCTCCTCTCCCTCCTCCACACAATCATCCTTCCCACCCCCACTCCCACTACTTCCCTCCATCCTTTTCCCACTAAATTGCACATTGTGACTTTTGTTGAAAAAACGGGTGTCTCCTTTGTTTTTTTATTCACAGCATGGCTGTAGTAACACTATGTTGTTTTTAAAAATTACCTGTGCTTATGCATGACTGTCTTTCTAAAGTGTGAGCTCCTTGAAAGCAGTACTCAATTCTGCCTGACATGATTACTGACTTTTGACTAAATGAAGCTAAATGTTTAGATAGAGTCAGTTGTCACAGAATTAATTAATTTTGAAAAGGTGACCTATTAAACAAACGTTTAAGGGCACCAATATAGAATGATTATGATTATAATTTTTATGATTCATGCATTTTTTTTCTTTTAAAGGTTTATTTAATTAAACTTTCTGGTTTGAACAAGAAGATGTATCAGAGCCGTCTTAAATCTTTTGAGTGTTTACTGGGCCTGAATTCAAATATTGGAATAAGAGACCTAGCTGTACAATTTAGCTGTACAGAAGCAGTGAACATGGCTTCAAAGATATTGCAAAGGTAAGAAGCATAAAGAGTCTTAACTGAAAATTTATACTGATACAAAAGGCAGAATTATTTAATGTCCTATTTTTAGTCTTAAAAAATAACTAATATGGTAAGGTGACATGATGTAGAGCTCATGCATTTAAATGGCTTAGTAAGTTCTCATATGCATTTTCAGTCCCTTTGAAATAGTATTTTTTAACAAATAATTCTGCAAACACTGCTTTCCCTTAGCTATGAGTCCAGTCTTCCACAAACACAGCAGTTGGATCTCGACTTATCCAGGCCACTTTTCACCACTGCTGCACTACTTTCAGCATGCAAGTAAGTGTGCCTTTTAATATTGAGAAAAGTCCACAGTTCACAAAGAGATTTCTCATTCCCAAAGAAGACTTCTAATTCAGTTTATTTCAACACAGAGCATATTTTCCCATATAAATGATATTAGGAATAGTGGCCAAGTGACCAGATTCTGTTTAGCCTACAATATATCTGACAATTTGGATCACTATTGCCAGTAGTCTGCTTGCCAAGGGTCCATGTTTTATTTATTTTCTTTTTCTTTTTTTAAGGGTTTTTTTTTTAAGTTTTTTATTTTCTTTTGTAATCTGTACACCTGATATGGGGCTCAAACTCACAACCCCAAGATCAAGAGTCATATGTTCTTCTGACTTAGCCAGCCAGGCACCCCCAGGGTCTACCTTTAAGAGTAATGAAATCTGTCATTAAAACTGGTTTATGATTATTCCAGTCCTATCTTTTTTAAGTACCAATTGCAGCTGTTTTTCAAATAATTTAGAAAACACCAGTGATGAATTTTTACATCTGAATTTTAAAATTTGGGGTTATTTTTGTGCATACTGAAATGGTACCTTGGAAATACTCCTGTTATCTTTGTCTAAAGTTGTCTTATTTTATCTTGCTGGGAAACTCCTTATAAAACAAAATATAGTTGTCCTGTAAAGATGGTTTCTTACTACCCAGCCTCTAATTTGGTTGTTTAGCTCTATTAGCTACACACCTAGAACGATTAATTGGCATTCATAGAAAATGTCCTTTTATTTCAACAAAGGTATGTGTATGTGGAGAAAGAGTATGGCGGCTGTTACAAAAAACAATATTAACAACTAACCCTACTTTTGAAACCAAATGACACTGAGCAAACAAAGGTTTGACTAGATTTATCCTAAACAAGAAGTCTCTTGTATATTTCATTAGTAGTTGTTGTGGACTGGTAATTAGGAAGGTGATTGGTAATTGGGGAGGTGAAAGTGATTTATCTTCCTATAGTATAAACATAAGTATCGTGGGTTAAAGTGAGTTGAACACTTAAAAATGCTATGATTGTCATTCAGCAAATTAGTAACATCTGAGATTCACTGAGAGTTCTTCAAGGCATGAAGCACTATACAGATGTCTTCTGTGTGCCCCCTTTTTTTAAATTTTTTTATTTTTGAGAGAGAGAGGGGGGAGGGACAGAGAGAAACTGTGACAGAATCCGAAGAAGGTTCCAGGCTCTGACCTGTCAGCACAGAGCCTGATGCAGGGCTTGAACCCATGAGCTGTGAGATCATGACCTGAGCCAAAGTCGTATGCCCAACCAACTGAGCCACCCAGGTGCCCCTGTGTGCCCCTTTTGTTGCATAACAGATCCCATTATATTTTAACTGTCAGTCCAACAAACAACTAAATAAGTAGTTTTAAAAGGCAAATTTACATGATTATAGCTAATAATGTATGTTTGGAATAAAAGGAAAACTAAACATAAAGCATGAGTGGAAAGGAAATAAGTTGATAATATGGTTGGCCAGAGATAGCTATACTGGTCTTAAAAATAGTAATTTATTAAACTCTTTTATAGGGTGTTAAAGCTAAAGGTGGATAAAAATAAAATGGTAGCCACATCTGGTGTGAAAAAAGCCATATTTGATCGACTGTGTAAACAATTAGAGAAGATTGGGCGGCAGGCTGACAGTGAGTATTCATTCTATATTTCAAGAATGTGTTATTTGAAAATGTAAACTTACTGGTAAAAGCCTAATATTTTCAAACTTGCAAAATGGCTGCTTTCTGAATTCTGTATTTAATGTGGACCAGGTAAGTTTTTAGTGAGAAATTATTTGGTTTTTCAAATAAAGTAGCATAATGACCTTTAAAACACCTGTGATTATATGACTCCATGCCTGAAAAATAGATTTTCTGTTAACATGCTCCAATGTTAAATGCTAGCCTCCATATACATAAGCTAGAATAGAAAAGATTCTCAAGTCTGACAAGAGAAACTAAAGAAAAGAGAAGGGCAAGATCATTTGCCTTCTCCTTATCCTAGTATTTGGTCAAAGTATCTAATTTTTATTTGTAATCCAAAATGTGCCCAACTAGTAAAATTAAGAATAGGAGAAAATTTAGTTAGTAGGTAACACGTTTTTTCCCTTAAAGGAGAAGCTGGAGATTCAGCTACTCCACCACAGAAGAAAAAGAAGACAATGGTTGAACCTCCAGCAAAAGGTAAGTTGTATTAACACTGGACAAGCTTTGAAATTAGTGCAGTGGGATTAGTGTACAGTGAGTTTAATGCAGTGAATAGTCCTGTGCTGCTTTAGCTGCTTGCCTGATAAGAGTCAGGTTTTAAATAAATTCTAACAATCATTTATTTGATAAGACCACTTTTCCAAGTAGTCATTTAAAGAAGTTAATAGAAGTATTATGTAAGAACCTATCTGAAGCCAAACGGCTTAGGTTCACATCCTGCTTTAATAGCCACTGACTCTAGAACTTTAGGAAAGTCACTTATTTCTGTAAGCCTGAATTTTCTAATCTTTTGCGGTTAATATTAGCACCCACTTCATACAATTATGGTGAGGGTTGAATGAGATAATGCCATTGAAGTTCTTGGTTCAGTGTCTTGAAGCACAAGATAGGTGCTTGATAAATGTTAACTATTTTAAGGATGTTGTGAGGTGCATGGAGTAAAAGAGCAAAAAACTAATGTGTTAGCTACTGTTTCCAGTTTTCAGCATTATATTCCATATTTTTTAATTAATAAGATATTTGAAACAAGGTTACTTTTTTTTTACTTGTAAAAATTTTGAAACACTTTTGAAAATTTTCTTTCATAGAAACAGAGAAGGTAGTAGACAGACCACATAAACTGCAGAAAGATGAAGATCTGACACAGGATTATGAAGAATGGAAAAGGAAAATTTTGGAAAATGCTGCCAAAGCACAAAAGGTTATAGCAGAGTGATTTCAGCTTCCAGACTGCCATTGGCTGCAAATTAATAGTACATCTGCCACCTCAATGAAGATGTGAGGGCTTTGGAATTTTATTTGAACTCTTATAACAAGGATCCGAAGACTATTGCCTTAAAAGCAAAGAAGTCAGTACTGGGGCTGAGTTCTTGGAAGCAAACTGGCCGGTGACATGGGCGACAAATTCATTAGGTCAGGCACAGTGCCTGGTTGGCATGGCTTTGGCTCCCCACAGGTCTGCATTCCTACAAAATGGAATTGGAGCCATTTTGCTCTTTTGTTTTAAGCAAAAGACATTCTCCTGTCCTATCAATATAAAATTCAGGTCTGAATGGAGTACTATGGATTTTACTTAGGTTTTTGTGTTAATTTCTTGTTTGACTAAATCAGTATATGGTACAGCCTGAGTTAATAAATATTTCTTTTTATATGCATTCAGGTTGCCCTTGTCATCAGTTTGGGGGAGTCATTGCTATGCTAAAAACTGTCTACTCTAGAAGAAAAAGGCCATATGCTGAACCATAATAATGCTCACTAGACAACAAACTCTTGAATCAGACTCCCTGAGTTTACAGCCACTTAACTACCTATGGAACCTTGAGAAAATTAATTAACTTCTTCATGCCTCATCTATAAGTAGGACTAAAAATGGTGTCTACTTCATAGAATAATTTGGAGGTGTATCTGAGCTGATACATATAAAACATTTAGCACAGTACCTGGTATAAGTAAGTATTTAGCAAATGTTAGAATATAGAGAGAACTTCACATATAAAGGTCTCATGTAATGAATTACACATTAACAGCATATTAAAAAGTCAGATGGACTGAGGGCTATTTTCTTTCACACCCACATAGTGAAGAATGTAATCTTACTAAAAATACTCCTTATTTTATAACTATAAGAAAGGACCTTTATGGAAGATACATTGCTAGGGGCTCAGAGGCATTGTGCCAGGTATGATTTTAATTAAATCAAGTATAGCCATGAAGAATATCCAAATTTTAAAATCTATTCAGAATAGTATCAATAGGGGTTGTATTTTATTTGCTATAAGTAAGATGTAATACCTGCTGTATAGACCTGGAGTGCTAAAAGAGGGATTTCTTGGGATGCCTGGGTGGCTCAGTCAGTTAAATGTCTGACTGACTCTTGGTTTCAGCTCAGGTCATGATCTCCTGGTTCATAAGATTGAGCCCAGCCTCCAGCTCTGCGCTAACAGTGCGGAGCCTGCTTGGGATTCTCTGTCTCTCCCTCTGCTCCTCCCCAACTAGCATGCACGTGCTCTCTCCTTTCTGTCTGTGTGTCTGTCTCTCTCTCTCTCTCTCTCTCTCTCTCTCTCTCTCTCTGTCAAAATAAATACATAAACATTAAAGAAGAAAAAAAAAGCAGACTAACATTTAAAAGAGTAATTTCTTCCCCTACCCTTTTTAATTCCAGATCCTTCCAAGATCTGGAAATCTAAAAGAAAAGCCACGGTCAAATGATCCTAACTCAGGCATAATGTCTAGCAAGCCCTGTGATAGAGGGAAATGAACATGAGCCTTTGGAAGCACATACATTTGTATTTAAATTGTGACCCTGCCACTTCCACCGTAAGGAAATTTCAGAACCTTAAAAGAGCTTCAGTTTCCTTTTTATAAAGTAGAGATATTCTCTGCCTTGTGAGAACTGAAGGTAATATTTCTATAAAGTGCATAGTACTTAGAAGGCATTCCTTAAATAGTAGCTCATTGCTTTCATCTAAAATGAATAAGTTAGTCTTTTCCTAGTTTATTTTAAGAAAGTATATAATTTGTTTTTATTTGATGCCAAGATTTAGATTTCTGGCTTTGAGTGAAAAGCAGTCTATTCATCACCAAGTAAAATTAGGCATATTCACTTTTTTTTTAATTGTAAAATGTACCTAGCATAAAACATAGCTTCTTAATCATTTTTTAAATACATAGTTCAGTAGTGAGTGTTACATTCACACTGTTAGCAACCAATCTCCAGAGCTCTTTTCATCTTGTGTAGCTGATTATACCCATTAAGCAACTTATTCGTCCCTCTCCTAATTGCCTCCCTGGCAATTACCATATGTTTATATCTGAATTTGGCTACTCTAGGTCGGTACAAGAGTGTCTTTTTGTGAGTGGCTTATTTCACTTAAAATTATGTCCTTGAGGTTCATTCTCATGGCATGTGTCAGAATTTCTTTCCATTTTAAGGTATTATAGTAGTCCATGGTATAGATATACCACATTTTGTTGATCCATTCATCTATAAATGGACACTTGGGTTGCTTCCACCTTTTGGCTGTTGTATATAATGCTGCTATGAACATGGGGGTACAATATCTCTTTGAGACCCTGCTTTCAGTTCTTTTTGGATATATACACAGAAATGGGATTGCTAGATCATGTGAATGCTATTTTTAAATTTTTGAGGAACTGTTTAGTAGCTGCACTATATGATGTTCCCACCAACAGTACACAAGGGTTCAATTACTCTACATCCTTGCCAACACTTTTTTTTTTCACTTTTTAAAAATTTAAATCCAAGTTAGTTAATATATAGTGTAATAATGATTTCAGGAATAGATTTAGTGATTCATCACTTACATGTAACACCCAGTGCTCATCCCAACAAGTGTCCTTAATGCCCCTCTCCCATTTAGCCCATTCCCCCACCTAACAACCAGCTAGCGACCCTCAATTTTTGTTCATTGTATTTAATAGTCTTTTATGGTTTGTCTCCCTCTCTGATTTTATATTATTTTTACTTCCCTTATATTCATTTTATGTTGTTTCTTAAATTCCATATGTAAGGGAAATGTATTTGTTTTTCTCTGATTGACTTATTTCGCTTAGCATAATACAGTCTAGTTCCATCCATGTTGTTGCAAATGGCAATATTTCATTCTTTTTGATTACTGAGTAATATTCCATTACATATAAATACCACATCTTCTTTATCCATTCATCAGTTGATGGACATTTGAGCTCTTTCCATACTTTGGCTATTGTCAATAGTGCTGCTATAAACATTGGGGTGCATGTGCCCCTTCAAAACAGCACTCCTGTATCCTTTGGACAAGTACCTAACAGTACAATTGCTGGGTCATAGGGTAATTCTATTTTTAATTTTTTGAGGAATCTCTGTGCTGTTTTCCAGAGTGGCTGCACCAATTTGCATTCCCACTACCAGTGCAAAAGAATTCCTCTTTCTCCACATCCTGACCAACATCTGTTGTTGCCTGGGTTGTTAATTTTAGCCATTCTGACAGGCATGAGGTGGTATCTCATTGTGGTTTTGATTTGTATTTCCCTGATGATGAGTGATGTTGAGCATCTTTTCATGTGGTTATTAGCCATCTGGGTGTCTTCTTTGGAAAACTGTTCATGATTTTTGCCCATTTCTTCACTGGATGTTTTTTGGGTGTTGAGTTTGTTAAGTTCTTTATAGATTTTGGATACTAATGCTTTATCTGATATGTCATTTGCAAATATCTTCTCCCATTCTGTCGGTTGCCTTTTAGTTTTGCTGATTGTTTCCTTTGCTGTGCAGGAGATTTTTATCTTGATGGGTCCCAATAGTTCATTTTTGCCTTTGTTTCCCTTGCCTCTAGAGACATATCAAGTAAGAAGTTGCTGCAGCCATGGTCAAAGAGGTTGTTGCCTGTTTTCTCTTGCAGGATTTTAATGGCTTCCTGTCTTACGTTTAGGTCTTTCATCCATGTTGAGTTTTTTTGTGTACAGTGTAAGAAGTGGTCCAGGTTCATCCTTCTGCATGTCCCTGTCCAGTTTTCCCAACACCATTTGCTGAAGACACCATCTTTTTTCCACTGGATTTTCTTTCCTGCCTTGTTAAAGATTGGTTGGCCATACGTTTGTGAGTCTATTTCTAGGTTCTCTATTCTGTTCCATTGATGTATGTGTCTGTTTTTTGTGCCAGTACCAAACTGTCTTGATTATAGCTTTGTAATACATCTGGAAGTCCAGAATTGTGACGCCTCCAGCTTTGGTTTTCTTTTTGAGGATTAGGCTCAATTCCTAGCTTTGGCTATTCATGGTCTTTTCTGGTTCCATACAAATTTTAGGATTGTTTATCCTAGCTCTGTAAAGAATGCTGGTGTTATTTTAATAGGTATTGCATTGAATACATAGATTGCTTTGGGTAGTACTGACATTTTAACAATATTTGTTCTTTTTTTTAATTAAATTTTTTTTTTTTAATGTTCATTTTTGGAGAGAGGGAGAGTGAGAGTGGGGAGGGGCAGATAGAGAAGGAGACACAGAATCCGAAGCAGGCTCCAGGCTCTGAGCTATCAGCGCAGCCTGACACATGGCTCAGACCCACGAACTGTGAGATCATGACCTGAGCTGAAGTCGGACGCTTTAACTGACTGAGACCACCCGAGCGCCCCAATATTTGTTCTTCCAACCTGTAAGCATGGAATGTTTTTCCTTTTTTTGTATGTGTCTTCAATTTCTTTCATAAGCTTTCTATAGTTTCCAGTATGTAGATTTTTCACCTCTTTGGTTAGATTTATTCCTAGGTATTTTATGGTTTTTGGTGCAATTGTAAATAGGATTCCTTGATTTCTCTTTCTAGTACTTCATTATTGATGTATAAAAATGCAACTGATGTCTGTACATTGATTTTATATCCTGTGACTTTGCTGAATTCATAGATCAGTTCTAGCAGTTTTTTGGTGGAGTTTTTTGGGTTTTCCACATAGAGTATAATGTCATCTGCAAAGTGAAAGTTTGACTTCCTTCTTGCCAATTTGCATACCTTTTATTTCTTTGTATTGTCTGATTGCTGAGTCCCAGACTTCCAATACTGTGTTGAACAGCAGTGGTGAGAGTGGACATCCTTGTGTTCCTGAACTTAGGGGGAAAGCTCTCAGTTTTTCCCCATTAAGAATGATATTAGCAGTGGGTCTTTCATATATGGCCTTTATGATCTTGAGGTATGATCCTTCTGTCCCTACTTTCTTGAGGGTTTTA